CCCTTCATGTCCCTTCATTTCACTTCCTTTTTCTGAATTTGTCTGCATTTCTCGTCATGTCCCTTCATTTCCCTTTATTCCCTTTCAGCTCCTCGATTTCACATCCCTTCATGTCCCTTTATTTAATTTCCTTGTATTTCCCTGTGTTTCCTTTAGTTTCTCTTTATTTCCCCTTCATGCCATGTCATTTCACTTCCCTTCATTTCCCTTTATTTCCCTCGAGTTCCCTGCCTTTCCCTTTTCTCTTTGATTTTCCGTCATTTCCTTTCATTTCCCTTTATTCCCGTCACTTCCCTTCATGTACCTTCATTTCCTTTCATTTCCCGTTTTTCCCGTCAGTTCCCTTCCCTCCCATTTCCCTTCATTTCCTTGCATTTCCCTTCAGTTCTTTCTTTTATTTCCTTTCATGTCCATTCATTTTATTTTATTGTTTCCCTTCATTTCCCTCCGTACTGGGCACCCCCTCAAAAGCGATCATTCTTTTGACTCCGGGGGAAGAGGGAACAAAAGCGCTTCCCAAATGCTCCAAAAATCGTCCAGATCTGCAAATCCTTGGCCCCATAGCAGGGACGGCGCAGCGCAAAGCGTGGGTTTACGGTCGGCTCATGGTCGGCGCATGTTCTGCTCATGGCCGGGGGGGCGGGCAGACAGCCTAAACCTGAAGGTAGCCCTCCGGGCTCAGCCCAGATGGGTTCACTTTGTGCCCGCTGTGGAAAATATGTTTGGTTCAAAATGGGAAGCGGATCCCTTGCCCTCCGTAAGCCGTGGCACCACGACACCAGGGGAAACCACCACCATCCTGAATAGGAGCGGATTGGTTTTGCACGAGCATCAACTCGCCATGTCCTTCCCGCAGGTACCTTGGGATGTGTTGAAGGGCAGCGCCGCGCAACGTTTGACAAGCGGAAGTTCATGTGTCGTTTGCGGGGACTCTTGGAAGCGCGCATGTCACGCTTTCGGGTGAAGAGATCCGGGGGGCAAACAACTCTGGGGTCGATCCCCACCGGCGTCGCCCTGCAGATGGGGGGCTCCTGGAACACCATGCTCTTCTCGAGGAAAAGGAGAAAACTTGAGCGGGTTCCATCTTGGTTGGAAAGGCAGGGTTGTTTCCAAAGGGCTCGCGCGGAGGTACTGACGGAGAGACATGTGCTGTTTTGCAGCTACTCAGCCACCGAACACGGGGCGCATGTCAGGGAAAATTTCTGGCCAGCCACGTTCTTGCAAGTGGCCTCAAAGTCAACAACTCGTTCGCCACGACCATGCCCCTATTGCCGCTGAAAGCCCAAAAGTCTGCAGCAGCAATAAAACGCAGTTTGCCCGCGCCTCAACGGCAGGAACATCCAGGAGAAACGTCCTTGCATCTAACGCCAAATGCCCCCCCCACGTTGGGTGTTCACGCCTGCCTTCAATGCCTCGGGCGAGGAGGGCAAAGAGCCTGGTGGGCGTTATCCATCTGCGATTTGATGCCGCGGAAGGCTGGAACATCGAGTGCGCACGGAGGATGCCACGGTGAGGGAGGCGGTGTCGGGGCTGATGGATTTGGAGCTTCGTCGGCGCCGAACGCAGCCCATGAACCAGGCAAGAAAGTTCATGCGCCTGAGGCTGATGCGCCTGCGAGCATTGCAGCTGCGCTCAGGGTGACGGACACGGTTTGTGGCTCGCAGTCTGCGCGCTCCAGCAGGGCTGCAGGAGAAGGACAAATCGAAGCAGGCGCAGAGGGTGCTCATCAGCGATGGAGCAACTTGCCTCCCTATTTGTCCAAGAAAGGAAAATATCCGCGAGGGTGATGGGCACGTGTGGTGTCTCTTGCTGATTGGTTTGGTCAGGCTGGTCACTTTGCGTCTGCGATTCTGCGTGCCGGGACGGTGCTCAGGGCACAGAGGGGGCTCTGGGCTTGCCGAGCCCAGCTGGCGCTGAAGGCTCCCTGCTTGACCACTCCGAGATTACCCTAATCAACGAAGCTGTCTTGGGAGTGCGTGTGACAGCGGTCAGCCCCTTTTCCAAGTTGGGTTCTTTGGGCTCGCATTGATAGATGTTGCCGGCGAGTCAGCTCCACCTGCGGCCTGAGCTTTTAATCAGGATGCCCCAGCGATGCGCGAAGCGCTCTAGTGGATAGCGCGTTGGCGACGTGTTGCGCGGGTGAGAAGACAGGATGCGAGCTTGCGCAAATGGCAGGAGTCAGAGGCAGGATGCTGAAGGCAAGCTGGGTTGGCCCATTCCATGTCTTGCATGTGTGTGTGTGTGCGCAGCCTCCAAGGTGGCCCACGATCAGACAACCCACTACTGTTGCAACCTTTTTTTGGAGTGGCCAGATCATGCAAGATGAGACGCAAGACGGGGTCTCAGCCCACTTGTTTGGAGCGGCGAGATCATGCAAGATGAGATGCAGGACAGGGTGTTGGTGTGACGAAAGATGAGATGCAAGATGGGATGCAAGACGGGTGTCTCAGCCTACTTTATGTGATGAAAAGGGTCCACGGTCAGAAAAGGTCCGTACTTTTTCTAGTTTTTTGGAGTGGCAAGATCATGCAAGATGAGATGCAAGATGAGACGCAAGACGGGGAAGTGTATGGTACTGGGGTTATCTGAGACAAGCGTTGGCTACTGGGAGGATCAACCAGGTTCATTCATCACGCGTGCAGTTAGAGGGTTAAGGGTTGGGGCGCAATGGAGCTGGAGGATAGGGTTTAGGGTTAGAGGTTGGAGGGTTAGAGGTGGGAGTCAGGGCTTGGAGTCGGAGGCTAGAGCTAGAGGTTCGGGTTAGAGGTTAGGTCGGGGAAGACGCGTCAAAAGACCCCCAGCCCCAGACTCCCCCAAGTGCCACTAAGAACACGCCTTTCGTTTGCTTTTGCAAAGGGGTTGGCGGACTCACTGATCCTAAGCGCAATGCCTGGTGCAAGAGAAACAACCAGCTGCGTACTAACTATCCCTGTTCAAAGGAACTTTCAAGTGACCCAACCATTCGCTCATGCTACAAGATCCTCTACTTGTCGCCCACAAAGCTTCACCGATCCTCAGCCACCGTAATTGATTTGTTTTCGCGGTTCGCATTGCTGGGCGGAAAAGGGTGGCTGAGCAACTTGGCTGTGTTTCAGATTTAGTTTCCCAGAATACCAACCTCGTACCCTTCACAAAAACACGTATCCATGTTTGGTGGAGGTGCGCATTCTCTCACCTTGCTAAGGAGGATCGCTCAGTGCGTGCCCACCGCTTTGCGCAGGAGTGACGTCAGCTGGCCTAATCCAATCTGGGCAAAGGAAATCAAACGCAGGTTCTTGGGGCTCCCGAATTCAGACCGGTGAATTTACATGTTCCTGAGTGACTGGAAGAGTCAGCCAGACAAATTAATGTAAGCACGGAACGCGCATGCTTGAAGGCAAGAACGGACATGGAGTAATTTGGTATGTTCAAGCCGCAGGAAAGACCAACCATCGGGCAGGAAGATAGTCCGAAGTGTGATTGGGAGGACACAAATTGTGTTTCTTCGAAGTGCCGATCGCATGCCGGCCGACTGCATTAAGATGACTCAAATCCTTGGAACAAGTATCTCTCAGAAACAGACCTGGCCAGCAGTCGTGTTTGTGCGTGTGTGCGTGGCCAATATATGTATAGGCTCTCATACACAAGGTATGGGCCTAAAATTGCCCAAAGGTTCAGGTTTTCTCATCTACGCAAAGACCACATGTAATGATTTGAGCCACGCACTGAGAGGCGATGGTGCGTTTTAGGGAGGCATGCAGTTTCCCCTGTTTCGAATGAACCGTGGCATTTCAAGCCCCAAATGCCGAACGTGCCCACACGCTTGATGGTTGCGAAACCATGTTTTGTTCAAACCTGATGTTGCAAGGGGTTTGTTCGCCGACACCTCCCACTTGCAACGAGAGTGGTTTGCCAGCGAATTGGATGCAGCAACACTCCCAGGACGGTGATTTGGTGGACCCACCGATCTCTGACGTGACTCGGCGCTGTTGTGTCGAGGGAAGGCAAGGGGACAGAACGGCCGAAGGCCTCTTTCAAAAGTCAGTCACATGCATTGCCAGGGTATTGGATTTGAAACCGAAGCCCCCACAAAACACAGTGCTTTGTCCTTTTTGTATGGATCTCGATTGAATAGAACCATGGCTATCCACCCTGGTATGATTTCGCCGCCATTGTGTTATTGATGTCATATAGTGCCGTGTAGGGTAGTGAGAACCTGAATGCACGCTACAAGTGAGCCTCGACCATGTTTATGTGGAAATCTGTTGTTTGACCAGCAGTTGGCCGCTTCAGTGCCCTTGCTTCCCGGTATAGTGCAGGTTGTTAGCTGCCAAAGGGCTGACACGAGGGGTCAAGCCACCTGGTTGACGCATCAAGAGGAACAGGGTAGACATTGAATGCTGGACTCCGGATGAGGTGTTGCAATAGATGCACCAATCTGAACATTGCAGTCACACGAACTGCGCCATTCTCGACATGATCACAGAAGTCGCTGGAATGCACATGGCGTTATTCAGTTACCAGGTCGGAGGGAGGACATTTAGAGCAACCCATTCTATCAACCATAGCGCTAAAGGGGATAGTTCTCATCTTGATATTTCCGCTATCATATATTGCACACGACAGAGTAAATGGCATATGTTTGAGTATCATTCGGAGTCATGCGCGCGACACTAAAGTGAAGGGGGTAGTTTCTGTTAAGCAGGCAGCATGCCCCAGTCGTCCACAATGCGCTGGATTCGTGTTTACTCACAGTTTTTGACGAACGGCCTTGGCATGCTAAGATGGACATGAGGGAGCCAAGTCCCAAGAAAGCAAGCAGGCAAACCTGGCTAACCTGCCAGAGTTGGTGTTTTCTTTTGGCCAGTGGGAAGAACACACAGCCCAGCGGTATTCACTCTACGCTCGCACTTTCGAGCCATGATGGAATTTCACAGTCACCAGTCAGAGATGAACTGCATGTTTCACAGCTGACTCGTGCTTTGCTGCTGGCGCTTTTAAGATGGATCTTCACGGCTGAGGATGATCCTTCTCTTCGTTTGCATGGCGCTCTTCTGCATGGGCCTGACAACCTACCGATTCATGAAATCAGAGGAGAATCTGAAACTGTTTGGGACACGCACAAACGAACTTACGGCTGAGTTGCGACTTACGTCGTTAAACTATCCCTGTCCCTCACCTGAGCATGTGTATCCGTGAATCTTTACTGTACCCTTCATATATGATAATTGTTGTGTACTGCATGCCCACCGAATGAATGTATAATGTACTATGTACATTGATGGTTCATGAGTAAAACTTGATGCTCTCGTTAGACGGCAGCAGTCCAGAGCAAGTTTGACCTGCTGCAACATGATCCTTTGGGTGCTTCTGGAAGTGGTCGCTCGAGTCTTGTTCACAGTTCAACACAATGCCATCACAAAGCTATGGCCACGTTGCAGATGAGTCCAGCAGCTCATACCAGTGCTCAGAGTTAGAAGGTGCAACGGATACTGATACATTGGATATCAGTGCATACATGTACGTGCATATATATATATATATATATATGTATGGTACCCCCCCCATGGACCCTGTTTGGTGCGGTTGACCTGTATTTTCCAGTGTGTTATGCTTCTTTTTGCTTCTTGGATTTGTGTCAAAATTGGGGGGAGGGTCATACATGCATATGATACGCATGCATGCATACAGATGTGATAAAAGCAATGACATCAGCACCTGCAATCTGAAAGAGTTTGAATGCATCCAAGAATACAAGAACAACTCAGACATTTTTTTTATTATGGAATCCAAGATTCAAGATTCAATAATGTGAGAAAATATGTTCTGGGAATCTTGAATCTTGATTCTTGAATCCCATAATTTTTAACAGTTTTTAAACATTTCTGGATTCAAGATTCAAGATTCAAGAATCTGAGAAAACATTTTCTGGGAATCTTGAATCTTGAATCTTGAATCCCATAATTTTTAAAAAGTTTTAAAAAAGCCAGGGTTGTCCCAATACTCTCGGTGTTCAATAAGATCCGTGAACTATTTCAATCCAGTGGTAACGGATGTTCGAGATGATAGAACAACTTGAACATTTTAGGGGTTGACCAGGATGGATGATTCTCAGGAAGGTGGTGGTTTGTGGGCTCATCAATATTGAATCCCCAATCCAGTGGTAAAGCACTTTCAAGTGTTAGAAGAACTTGAATGCTATTTGGGTTTGGCCAGGATTGACAATTCTCAGGAAAGTTTTTTGTGTAATCGTCAATCTTGAATCTTCCATCCGATAGTAGCAAATTTTCAAGTGCTTAGCGATCCAGTGGACACACTTTCAAGTTATTGGTTAGACAAACTTTCAAGTGCTTTTGGTGAGCTTCATGTCAGCTATGCTCATGTTGACCCCTTTCCAGGAGGTAAACAAAGGCAGGCGTAACGCTCAAAAATACTGTATTTTCCAGTATTTTATGAGGAGGCGCAGGATCATTGGGGGTACTATATAATATATGTGTGTATGTATGTGCATATAGGTATACATATGTATGTACGTTCACACACCGTCCCCCACCCTCTTGAACTACCTGTCCACATTTGCTCATCTACTACCTCCACCTTTTGAGATAGAATTAACTTTCCTGCGCAAATAGAACTTTAAACACAACGGTTTAGCTAGAATCCCTGTTTCGAGATAGTTTTAGATTTTGAACCTCTCTTCCCTTGAAATTTCCCTTTGGAACACCGTGTAACAAGTTCAATGTCGGACCTTTCTTATGCTACAAAAGGGCCAGAATGTAAATAACACAAATCCTATTTTGAATTTCCAAATGTTTAGCCATATTTAATATGAATTATATTTGAGATGTAGTCTCTATTCACTTGATATTATCAACAGCAAATTGAGTTGTGTTCGTCTTAGATTATATTTACCACTTGGATTATATTTGGGAAAACAACTTCCATCTAACTTCTTGTGCTATAGATTAGTTGGAGTGTAGCCGAACATATATATTTACATTTTCATGTAGCTGCTATTTGGAAAGGATTTGCTTGTTTAAGCTGTAATTGAACATAAACACATTTTTGAAAACTATATCCATACTAAACTATATTCAAAATTCCAATTCTAGTTGAAGTAACATTTTATTTGGAAAGGGTATCATACTGGGACATTGTGGAGGACTCCGGGCTCCAAATTATCACGCTTTGGGGACCCACAATTGGAAATTTCGAGAATATACATTTGGAAATTCTAGATTTGCCATCCCCAAAAGACAGTAAAACCAGGGTCCATGGAAGGGGTTGCATGTGTATATATATATATGGATGTATGTGTATATATATATATGGATGTATGTGTATATATATATATATATGTATATGTGTATGATATAGCACTCATATTTATAGTTGTTGGTTATGTGCTTCAAACTTGGCAGACCCTGCGACGACACGGGCTTGGTGGGCAAACTCGGGGGATGTGTTTGGAGTGAGACTGAAGCAGCCAGTCGGCGGTTGTCACGCTCTTGTGGTCAAGGCCCCACCAGGACCTGAGGATAGTTGTTGGTAGCCTGGGCACATCGATACTGTGAAAGTCAGAGGCTACCCCCTACTCCAAATACCCTCTTTTTTAGTGTATGATGTCGACCCTCTACTAAAAAAGGAGGTATTTAGCATGGAAACCCAGGTTGTTCAAACAAATCCCTAGAAAAAGCGGGTATTTGGAGTGGGGGGTAGGCAGGCTCGGCTTCATGTGGGCCTCGTAGCAGACTTCAGATTCCAATTCCGATGACTCAAGGCTCGCCTCGGTGACGGCCGATTGGAGGGCGACAGCGCATGCCATGCTACGCAACTTGTTGGATGCTGGCACGGTACTTCCATTTGCTGAGTGAATATTTGCTTATTTTCCCCTGTTGGTTTTGAAGGGAACCTATGACTACTTTTTTTTGGAAGTTTTCCAGGGGGCTTAAGCAAATGGAAGGTTATAACATTTGGCGGGCATCCTGTGCGTGTCATGCAAGTGCAAGTAGGTGTTCGTGCAGATGGAGCCATCTCAAGGTGGCGCATCTTTGAAAAACCCTCTTCTCTCTTGATCTACACTCGAGTCAGGTGGATGGACCCTTCGGAAGATCTAGGATCCCCATAAGGAGAGGCACGTTCTGTCTCATTCTTCCCAAAGAGTTCGCCTTTGTTTCTTCCGAAGTTTCTATGTTTGCCATCAAGTCGAAACTTTGGGTGTCCAGTTTGCAGAACCCGGGCTCGCTCCGATCTAGGAGGATTGCACGTCTGGCCGGAGATTGATCGACAGCTCCTTCCTGAGGTAGTGGGAAGGTCCCGTTTTGCCCCAGAAGCCATGCATCTTCCAGACTAAAAGCTCACCCCCTACTTCAAATGCACCCTTATCTTTTTTTTGCCGGGTTGGGGGGCTGTTTTGTCCATAATAAATGTGTAAATCCATATTTTTGAGTCAGGGGCTGACAGCATAGCAAACTAACAATGCGTATTTGAAGTGGATAGAGATCCTCTGCGTTCGGGCTTCGTCTCACCCAAAAGCTGCTCGCGAGGAGATGTTATTTATGATTTTGCGATGTGAGAGTTTCACTTTTTTAGTTGGTATCCTGTTTTGGTTGCTTTCAAGGGAAGCCAAAAGGACAACCAAGCATGTTGGGGTTTGTCCCATAAGATGTCCTTGAGTGGGTGTTGGTGATTTTTGCTCAGCCAACAATTCCTGGCGCTGAATTGGAAAAGCCACATTGTGACTACAAGTTGTTGGCCAAAGGACCTGGCTCGTGCATCACAGTACTCCAACTACCTTCGGTTCTTTTAGGGTATTGCTTGGAAAACCGATGGGTTTTCCAGGGTGAATACCGATCCCTTTTTTAGTACAGGGTCGACATCATACCCTAAGGCCAACAAAGTGATGCGTGAAACCACCCAACCATTTTGCGCTTCCTTCCTATTTGTTGGGTGGGTATGGAACTTGCGCATTGCAGCCTGGGAGTACAATGGTGTGTGTGTGTGTCACTTTGTGAAGGCTTCGGGGATTTTCGAGCTGTTTAGTGGGCTGGGGGGGGTATAGGGGGCCGCATTCTTGCGCCGTTCAGAATTGTGTTGAATAGCATTTCCCTGTTGAATCAGGTGGTTAGCAATCCTGATGCTGTTCACCACATTTTGGCGGCATAGTCTTCCAACCAAGGGCTGGAGTGTTCCTTGATGGGTCGGATTCATACAGCAGCGTTATATTCCTGCGACCCAGTTTCCGGCATGTTGGCAACTCAAAAGCAACCAAGCAAATAACTGGTGTAACCTATTTCCGCAGGGTGCGGCTCATCCAGCAAAATTATTCGCTTGCGGCAGTTGAACCCTTTTTTCAAATGCCCAGTTGCTTCAGAAGCCCTCTGTTGGGGGCCGGTGTAGCTAGAGTCAAATAGTGTAATTCTCCCAAACCATAGTTGCCTCCTGATGGCTGCATGGTAGGCCAATTCTTGTTTGCTGGCTCAGATGGAACGCTCAGCTTTCCCTTTAAACTTGAAAGACTACCTTCTCTCACCCACGGACATCGCAGCTGACAGGGGTCCCTATGGGAAATTGATCCAATTTGATCCAGGTACCCCCACAGCTCTATTGAGAGAGAAAGGATAAACCATGTTCATTGCAACAACCTCTTGGCTTTCCTGATAAGACCCGGGTCGTTTGTGTTTTTTTCAAAGGAAGGCTTTTTCTTTTGGGTTCCCCTTCCACTTTCGCACAAACCCGAGGCTCGGTGTTGATCATGACGACGGCTGTGTCGTTGAGTTTTTTCTCCTACCTCAGGCGGGCGGCGGGCGAGTAAGGAAGCCGCGATTGCTCCCGGTTGGGCGATCAGTTGAGAGGGCCAAGATTCCGGAGTAGGGAATCCACTGGGCATCTGAGAGGGGCTGGCGGGTAGCATGGTTCACTCAGAGCTGTGGCTGTGAGTTAGACTCGACTTCGTGGAGGCCCATCCCGCCAATTTGGCCTCAATTCAGCGGTGCACGCGGACCTCTCACTTGATGAAGGCTGTTTTTGTAGGAGTTCCTCATTTCAAGTTGCTGGTGTAAACCAAGGTGCCCAGCTGCCCACTTATCATAATCGCAGGTTCGTGTTTGACAATACAGCAAGACAACCTCCCCTGCGCCATGAAAGCGGATGTCTTGCCCAGTGGAGCCAGTTACTCCGTAGAAGTCTCACCGAACAGGCCCATCAGCGAGGTGCAGGCTGCAGCGCAGAACTTCCATCGCCGCCTGAAGCTCACTGCAAAAGGCCGGCAGCTCGATTTGAAGGCCATGCTGAGCGCTGGGTTGCCGGATGGGGACGCGGAAGCGGTTGTGCGTTCGCTGGGCCAACTGGCTGCCACAGGCAGGGCGTTCGCTTGATTTCGCTTGGCCCCAGGTGCGAGGTTGTGACGTGGGGTGAACCACACTGTGGCGGAGACAGCAGCCAGGTGCAAGCGCTGCTGAGAAACGTCCAGCACATCCAAGCAACTGCAGTTGCTGTTGCTGCCATTCTTGCAACTGGGGCCAGTGCTGAGGTGATCCACGAGCTGGCGGAGACAGCAGCCAGGTGCAAGAGCAGCTGAGAAACGTTCAGCACATCCAAGCAACTGAGACTGCTTTTGCTGCCATTCTTGAATCAGGGGCGGTTGTGACCTGGGGTGGCGGAGACAGCAGCCAGGTGCAGGAGCAGCGGAGAAACGTCCAGCGCATCCAAGCAACTCTTGGTGCTTTTGCTGCCACTCTTGGATCTGGGACTGTTGTGACCTGGGGTGATCCACGAGCTGGCGGAGACAGCAGCCAGGTGCAAGATCAGCTGAGAAACGTTCAGCACATTCAAGCAACTGCCCGCGGTGCTTTTGCTGCCATTCTTGAATCTGGGGCCGTTGTGACCTGGGGTGATCCACGAGCTGGCGGAGACAGCAGCCAGGTGCAAGATCGGCTGAGGAACGTCCAGCACATCCAAGCAACTGGACTTGCTTTTGCTGCCATTCTTGAGTCTGCGGCTGTTGTGACCTGGGGTAATCCAACAGCTGGCGGAGACAGCCGCCAGGTGCAACACGTTTGTCTCTAAATGGAACCTCGAAAATCCACACTTTCTTTTTTGACCTTTCTCCTCACGAGGCGTCCTCAAAAAAAGACGCCTGCATGTCATCCTCTTGACTGCAATGGCTGGTGCTGATTGCTCAGCTCGATATTCCTATGTGTAGGCTGCTGCATCGTGCTGGTGTTGCTTGCCCAAATCCTACATGTAGGCAATACTTTTGCTGCTAAATCCAACTATGGAGTTGACATGTTCCATTCTTTCAGAACACTCTTAATGCGCCAGACATGCACTGTCCAGCTGTTCTTGCACCTGGCGGCTGCCTCCGCCAGCTGTTGGATTACCCCAGGTCACTACAGCCCCAGATTCAAGAATGCACCCAAGTTTCCCATGAGCGGTTGTTTTTTTCGTTGCAGCGGGTGGGAACACCCAGTTGAAATGGTTACACCGAGCCTGTGGTTGGATGCCTTTTCGCCAGCATCATTGAACAGGAGCCTTCGGCCTTCAGCCCTTTGGCCCGGCCAAGTTGCAAGCTTCGAATTGCTCTTCCATTGGATTCCCGGGTGGCTCGGCTGCTTTTGCACCCTTTTGCGTGTTTTGGAAATGGTGGGCATGCCTTTTTTAAGGGACCCACCAATTTATGTTTTTTAAAGGGAACCCGACAATTTATGTCTTCTGTTTTGGGGACTCACCAATTTATGTCTGTTTTAGGGGACCCACCTATTTATGTCTTTTTTAGCAGACCCGCCAATTTGGCGGTTTCTCTTTTGGTTTCCATTTTGTCTCCGGAAGCTTTGCGTGGGCCGTTTCTTGTTCTACGTGAGCTTGTTTTGGGCAGACACCAACAGGAAAACCACCATTTGTAGGGCCCCCTATTTTTGACGCATACCCAGGATTTTGCAAAAGGTGGTACTTCTGGTGCCGGATGACGGGGTAAGTTAAAAGTCTTACTGAAACCCTTGATGGTTTTCCAACTGAGCAAACCGTCACAAGGTTCCCATCGTAGACATCTTTGCCCTTGACCAAAGTCATGAGCAAAGAAAAGACCTAGGTTTGGGGTTGAACGTTGACCAAGACCCGATTCTTTTGCCACAGCTCTATTGTCAATTGTCATCATGTTTGCAAACGTGGTTTGCGAGAGGTCGCACAAAAGAGTTTTTCCTGAAACGTGGTCGGGGAAAAACAACGCGGATCGCTTTGAGCGGCGATTCGGTTCGCAGAGGTGACAAATTTGTCGCCAACTCTCACGGCATGAACATGTGCGGGAAGTATGAAACGTCGGGTGTAATGTTAACCCCGGATGAATAAACCCCTGGCTGATTAATAGGGGGGTGCAGACCACTTTTGGAGAGAACACCCCTAATAATGGGACGGGTAGAAAATCCTGGGTCAACATTACCTGTGGGTAATCAGGTTTGACTTGACTTTGAGGTGTGGAACGTGAACATGTTTGGATGATGTTGACCAGGAAGCCGAAATGAAGCCAGCCATTGGTGGTCCGGATAAAAACCAAGAAGTACTGAATCTGCCTGCAGCCCCAAAACAGCAGTGACTTCTACGTGAAGGATGATCATGATTGAAGCTTGTGTACGTTACCAGGTTTGTAAAGAAGTTTGGTTCTCCTAGTTTCGCAGTGGCCTTTGGCAAGTAGAGGGAGCCGGCCATCTAGGTCATGAATTGTGAATCTGCTAAGCTGTTGCTCCAATCGCAGAGTGATGGTAGGCATCAAATTGTTTTGTGTTTGCCGTTTCCGTGATTTTTGGGTTGAGCCTGTTTGGATTCCCGGATGGCTCCACAACGACGGCAAGGGCTATGTTCAAGTGCGATGGCTGCGCAACTGACTCCAAAAGGTTCCCTCCAAATGTGCGGCAGGGTCGGGCTCCACCTGCCTTCTGGACTTGCATTGAGTAGCGAGTTATTTCATCTAGGTCCCCCAGTAGTGCCCTTTCTCACCCCTTTTTTGGGGGAGGGTTCCCCTACTAAAATGGACTGCAGAAAAAAGGGTACCCTTATTCTAACCTCTCTACTGGAGGACCTAGACATGGTGACTGAAAACTTAGCGGCTTGCCGATTGCGCCCATTGCGCAGGCCCTTGCACGGCCTGTCCTTCACCCCTGTCTTCAGACAGATCCAGCAGGCCGGTAAAAAAAACGCGAGAAATACCTGTCCCATGGAGACCTCAGGAAAAAGAGTCAACCGCGGAAACCTGAGGAAGATCGACCCGACCCTTGGCGGTTTCTTGAAGTTAAAATATATGATTTTTCTGTAGCTGTCCTCAAATGGGTTCATAGTTTCTGAAATATGTTGTATCCAATTGCCCGGGATTTGTTTGTTTCTTCACGGCCTCCAAGCCTTCTCAAGATTATCATCTCTCGCTGAGATGGGGTTGGCATAGCAGCATCTGCTTCTGCCTTTGCAACTATGTCTCACTTGCCGAAGCCGACCTTTTGACCTTTGAGTTGCTCCTGTTTGGCCCAGTTTTAAGGCATGGCCCCAGAAGGTCAACTTGTTATTCCCGTGTTTTTGGCAATTGTTATGGGGGCTGGGGGGAAGGGAGGGGAGGGGGAGGGAGCCCGAAATTAGGCCTGAATAAGGGCTTAATAAGGGTTTGTTGGGGCTTCCCCTCTCCTCCCTCCCCCCAGCCCCCATGAAATTGGCATGGCAGTTTTGTAACATCACGGCATGAGAAGCTGGGCAAAAGCTAGGCCCAGGCAACCCATGAGTTGTGGCCTTGGCTCAGTCCATTTCCCGCAATTCCTGCATTGATCACTCTTGCAGATTGTCACTCTTGCGCTTGCACATCAACTAGGTCCCCCAGGAGTGCCCTTTCTCACCCTTTTTTGGTTGGGAGGGTTCCCCTACTAGAATAGACTACAGAAAAACGGGCACCCTTATTCTAACCTCTCCACTGGAGGACCTAGTCAAGGCCCCATGTGATTTTGTGAGTCAGGTGCTTGAAAGCACGTGTCTCGAGTTCCTTCAGCTTGTCTGAGCGGACTATCTCGCTGTGGTTCTGGCCACCTTCGGGAGTTACGCGGGCGCACCATTCCTCTTAGGCTTGGCTGCTTCGATCCGGGCGGCTAAACAGCCATCATATGTTTTGTTTTAGAAGCAACCACATGGAGGGTATTTCTTGTGTTTCCCAGAGTTCCTAGCAACACCCGGAATGACCTGTGAGCCCGTGCAAGCTCCGACTTGAGAGGCGCACTTTTAACGGGGGGGGCTTGCTGTACCTTGAAGCTGGCCAAGCTTTGCCTACAGCTTGCCAGACTTCCATTCAAACATCCTCTTGACATTTAGATCCTTGCCCAAAGAATCCTTCCATCCACAGCCCTCACTCCTAACTTCCTCAAGGGTTAGGTGTGGGTCAAAAATGGGTACCCAAAAGGCCCAAAACGGAACCCTGGGTAATGGAACCACGGAGTAAAATCTGCGGTCCCCTGGTGGTCTAGTTTTGACCCATAGCCATGTAACTTTGGGTTTCCTCATCTCCATCTATGCACTGCCTTCCGGGCATCTGATTGCTTTGTCAATGGTTGCCAACCCTTAGGCCAGTGTGCCATACCCACAGACTCAAAGCAAAGTAAAGCAACCCCCAAGCCACAAACTAAACCACAAACTAAACCAAACCAAACCACAAACTAACCAAACCACAAACCAACCCCCAAGCCACAAAGTAGACTACACGCGTCCCAAGCGAGAGGCCACCAGATATGTCATCAAGGCCTGGCACCCGCCCAACATGCCACCGCCTCAGCCGCCTCGGATCCTCGGATCCGGAACCCGGACGTCAAAAAGTTCGGCAGAACGGAGGCCTTGTCCATCCAATCGCTCAAGGACATGTTTTAGTTTCCCTTGATGGTTTTAAAGGGAATCTATCACTGCCAGAAATATGTTTTTTTTTTTCTTTCCCCCAGGGGGCTGAAGCAAATGGAAGTTGTTGACTGCCTGTTGGATGGCTCGGCGCCCGGGCGGCGAGTTCTGGGAGCACACCTTCTTGCTCGGCAAGAAAGCCGGGAGGAAGCGGGACTTTGTCTGGAAGGACATGTTCGTGCCGTTGAAACATGGGGTAGTACTTGTAGGTGCAGTGTGATTGACATATTGCAGCTGTCGCGGAAGCTTGCGTATTATGTGGCCACGTTGACGTGTTAAGCTCATGCAGGAGACCCGTGCAAACGCTCCTCGAGCTATATAGTCTCTCATTCAATTCAGCCTTCCTGGAAGGTTGCCCTGTAATTACCCCGCATCAAGTTCCTGCCATTGATGGGAAGGGCTGTGGTGCTACCCAAGGATATATTTTTTGTCTCTCCTCCTTGTCGCACCAAATTTCTATCATGTTCCAATTTCTTCCGACTGATAAAACCAGACCAGAGCGGTACTTTGGGGCAACGCATCAACAAACGCCTTGCTGCAATGAACGCGATTCCAGCGAGCATGATCCGATCCACGGCCACAGGCCCCACGGGCTCAACAGGACCGCGGGCTCAAGGGCTCACCGGCACCACACAAGCAAGCATGCATGCATACATGCATGCATGCCACAAACACAGAAGTAGCGAAACACAGAAACACACCAACAGCCAACCAACCGGCCAGCCAGCCAGCCAGCCAACCAACCAACCAGCCAACCAGCCGAACAAACAAAGCAAGCATAGCAGCCACCCAACCAACCAACAAATACACAAACAGACGGACGGACGGACAGACAGACAGACAGACGGAGACAGACAGGCGGAGACAGACAGAGACAGAGACAGAGACAGAGACAGAGACAGAGACAGAGACAGAGACAGAGGCAGACAGACGGACACACCAACCAACCAACAAACCAACCAACCAACCAACCAACCAACCATCAATCAATCAATCAATCAATCAATCAATCAAACAAACAAACAAACAAACAAATCAAACAAGAAACCCACCAACCAACCAACGAACGAACGAGCAAACAAACACACAAACACAAAAGCCCAGCAACCAAGCAACCAACCAACAAACAAACACGCAAGCAAACACCTCAATGAATCAATGAATGAATGAATGAATGAATGAATGAATCAATCAATCAATCAATCAATCAATCAATCAATCAATCAATCAGTCATTGAGTCAGTCAATCAATCACTTAGTCATTCAGTCAGACAGTCAAACAAACAAACAAACAAACAAGCAAGCAAACGAATTAAACAAACAAACAAGCAAACCAACAAACAAGCAAGCAAGCAAACAAGCAATCATTCAAGCACTCAAACACATACACACAAACAAGCAAACAAACAAAGAAGCAAGCAATAATACAAGCAAACAAACGTGTGAACAACATATGCCAAGCAAAAAGGGAGGAACACATATGTGTTCGAAAAACGGAACGTTCAATCCAGAGGCACATAAACACATCTACCAGTTCGTAAGCAACGTCAAGCAAGCGAGCAATCGAACCACCAAGAACCAAAACAGGCTCAACAAGCTCAAGGCTCACCGCCCAAGGGCTCAGGCTGCACGGGCTCACGGGACGGACCGCGCGCACGTGGAACCTAAATTTGTTTGCGACGACCTATTTCAGGGCTTGGGTGGACCATGCTTTGCGCAGAGGTGAAGTTTACCAGCCTCAAAGAGGCTATCCTCATTCCATTTTTGACAAGGTAGACTTGAAGCCACGGTGGTTGATTCCGCAGGGAAACCCGAGTTTCAGTCTGCCTTGGGGTCAAAACATGGAGCCCTGCACGACCTCATCGTGCAGACCCGAGGCTCTACGTCACTGACGGCGGGGTTCAGGAGACGCGTTGCGCGCGTTGCGCGCGCGCGCAGACGGCATCCCAGTTGAGTGGTGCCCTTTGCTTTTTTTGGGAAGGGTTCCCATTTAAAGTCAACCAACAACAAAAATGGGTGCCGATTCTTTCGTTCCCATGGAAATCCACTCGGCATTTGAGGCATCAGTTGCAGGCCTAGTGAGGTGTTTCAGTTCTTTTCCGCTCGTCCGCGAACCTTCCATAAGGGTTCATGTTAGCAGCCCGGGTGTTGGCTTCCTTCCAGTTGGCCACGCGCCACCTGATTTGTTCGCCATCTTGCGTAGAGTGACTTTAACAGTTTGACTTTTACCTCTGGGTAGATTTGTGTGGCAACCTTCAGAGTGCAGGCTCACTTGAGCCACAATCAAAACCGAAGGTTAGTAAGGGACAATCCCAACCACAAATAGCTGCGGAATTCCGCCTTCTTGATTCTTGAAGCATGGTTCTGGGTGGACCATTTTAATACCGGGTTTTGTTTGGTTGACATCATTTGGGTTTGCCAGTGAGCCCAGAAACTGTGGAAAACTCTTGGCCGAGGCCCTTACTTGTTTCGGCCCCTCGATTGAGATGAGCTATGCTTGTGATGGCGCGACAGGACTGCACCGCCATCACGCAGTTGCTGCAGAGGACGGCGAGCGCGAACGCCTCGCCCGAGTCGGAGCTGTGGCGTTGGTTCGGAAGATGACACGCGGCTGTGGTTCTCAAAACCGTTTTGGGATCCCATTTTGGTTGGTAGGTGAATTCACCACCCATGTTAGTCGGGATTTTAGTGGGGATTGGGATGTTCAGTGTGGGTACGATTTGGATTTGACCCATGGCCACATGACCACATCGTGTGCTTGCTTGTGAGGGTGAGCCTTCAATGAGCGCTCAACTTCTAAATCGCCTCGCACATGCATTCTCAGAACCATTGGTTACAAAGGGCTCAGAGTTTGTCCCAAGAATGGTCTATTTCTAGTTTCCCAATGGCTGGGAAAGAGCTAGGCAAAAGCCCGTTCCCCTTTGTTGCTTCTTTGTTACTTTAATTTGTTGCTTCCTGGCTTTTTAGCTTCCTTCTTTCGTTTCCTGCTTTTGTTTGCTTCCTTTTTTCTTCCTTCTCCGAATTTAGCCAGCGGCAGCCAGCACCCTCCTGGGCAGAGCACGACCCTGTGACACGCGTCATCCTCACTGCGGGTTCATTTACTTTGTCAGTTATAGCGCTTGGGCGTCAGAAAGGAGGTCTAAAAATGAGGACACCATCATGGACGGTTTCCTGTTGTATTTCCTGTCAAACCGCGCCAACTTGCATAGTTCTAGGGGTAGCTTCCCGATTCTTTCCAGGGATCCTTCTTTCCAGAAAACCACCAAAAACCCTGCAGAAACAGCGATTGGCTATTGAAAAGAACGATGGTATTGGAATCAACCCCTAGAATCGTTCTCTCTTTCCACAAGGAGACACTTTCTGCAATGGAGTTCCAATCTCGCCAGGAGGTGCGAGGTGATTATGCTGGTGCTCGCTGCCAGCCGCCTCCTTGGTCCGCCGTTAGGGTCGTGGCAATGCCCGGGCCATCGCGCCAAAACTCCAAAGGAAAGGCTTACATTTGCTTAAGAGGATTTTGATTTTCATCTCTTGGTCTGAAAGGGAATCTATCACTACTGGAAATATTTTTATTTTTTCCAGGGGGCTTAAGCAAATGGAAGGAGAATATCTGCCCAACATCTGTCCGTTCCTCGGCTTTCGGCTCGGGAGTGCTTTTGCTTTGGGGGCGTCCAGATCCGGCGGAAAAGAAAACACCAAGTTGCCAAGTTACCAAGTTTCTGAAAAGTCGTTCACAAATTGTGAGGTTCTGGTTCACCTGCTTTGCACACGAGACCGCAAAAGGCAACAAGTAACAGGGAGACACTCTGCAGAGGCGATTCGCCTACCGGACACAAGGCAATGTTTCAAGACGGGCTGAGACGGGCCCTTTTTCGTGGGCGCTTGCTGGTGGACCTTTGCTGCAGTCTCTTTCACCAGAGACCTCGATGGTTTTTGGTGAACAAGGGAAATGCTGGGCAAAGGGCACATGTGCAAAATCTGGCATGAGATGTTATGTTTCCCTTTGGCGATGGGGTACTTTGCTTGCCCCGAACCCTGAGGTGATCCAACCGATGATCTCGCTGTGCTGCGCACCACCATGGAGGCGAGAGCTCTCCAACGGTCGCTTGTGTTTGGAGCGAGTGTCGATTGGTTTGTTAGAATCCGGTTTACCTTCCAGAGGCCACGTTGATAAGTGGGGCAAGATATTCCAACGTTGACCTGTTGTTCTGCTCACATGCAAACCATCGGTCATGGATAGAGTGCATGTCCTTTTGATTACGCGTATTGTTGAGAAGCCAGTCGTTGGTGGTTTCGGATTGGCATTCACACTTGGGCAGAACGCTGCCCTTCATCTATATTAATATGAGCAACCGACCAATTCACCAGCAATCGATTATGTATTGATACGGTCGGAATACGATAAAAAGTAGAGTCTTTGCCGTGAAACAAGATGTCCCCGATAGCTTTGCAGAAAACCATGCAAAACGAGATGAAACAAGATTGAATCATAGTGACGGAGCTGACCTTGTCGGCTGTGAGAGTGATGACTTTGACAGACCAGACTTTGAGTTTTTTTCCAGTGACCGGGCCCGACTAGCTGTAACAGAGCAGACCCTAAGCTTTCGCAGATTCTCGCCATCGGCCCGACCTGACAGCAGTGACCCAGATAGCCGTGAGACTGCGCAATGGGCATGCTAAGCGTGCAATAATCACTGAAGTTCTCTTGCAAGTCTTGCCCCGCGAGGTCTCAGGCATTCTCGAGTCGGCGAAAAAGCCTGGAAAAAAGCAACAGCTCAAATCGAGCCCAAAACGAGTCTGTAACGAGTCCGATGCCTTCACAAGTTGAACCATGGCCACGATGCGAGAGAACAAAGTAGCTGGCAAAGTAGCTTGCTTGACACACACAAATGCTACAAGTATAGCAACACGCTTTTGTATTACGCGTACTTTCGCACTAATCGTTTGCAAAAAAAGATGGTCCCCCCCTGACTAGTCCTAAACGAGATCAAGCCAATTTGGCATTGCGCTAGACAGGCAATATAGTCGGCTGCTCACATGCTTTGCTTTGGTTAGAAGTCAGCTTCATGCAATGGGTGCCAGCCCTTGAGCGGGCTTCGTGCTTCGGGGAGCTACTGATGACTTCCCATACACAGGTCCTTAGCCAGCAACCATTCATCCAATCCGAGGAGTTTCTTGACAGCTGAGACCCTCTGTGCCTAGATCTTCTTGGAAAGTCACAAGGAACCCATTTGGCCATCTGGCTGTGGCTCAAAGGAGGGGTTGCGCAGGTTTTGGTCCATGTTTCCACTTACCAGGGTTCCATTTTGGTACCGTTTTTTTGAGCCACAGCCATCTGGACCTGATTCACAGTCTCCCGTGCGTTCCTTGAAGCACATGAACCCACGAGGCAGTGCAGAACAAGCTCAAGTTGGCGTCCTTCTACGATCTGCAGCTGCTGCCCTAGAGGGCCATCCAAGCTCACCAGGCTGTTTGCCTCGGTAGGGTTCCGTTGGGCCCAGTGCGACTGCGGCAAAGATTCGGACAGTGGAGCAATACTGGGCGCGAGGACGCAGCTCTTTGCCACATGCATGTTTGTTTGGGTGCTTGCGGTTGGTTTTGCGAGGTTGAACCGTTTTTTCTGGTCCAGCCCAACGCAGGGCATGCGGCCAAAGTCGAATCGGCTGGCCGGGAAGAAGTTGCTTCAGGTCCTCCTTTTTCTGGGTTGGTCTTGGCCGGCACATTTCCATCGGGGACATGTTATCATTCACCATGTCCAGAGAAGACCTCACAAAGCACAGCGGTAGAACTTGACTGCTGGGTGTCCGCGTCAACTAGTGCAGCCTTTTTCCATGAATTTGGCCAACCTGCAGCACATACATGACTGGAAGCACTTGGTCCAGATGCACAACGTGCATGGCTGTTTGAATCAGCCTCAGCGAGTTGCTAGGCAACAAGCTTCCCATTCATGTAGACAAGCACTTGGATTCTGAAGGTCTCAGAAGGCCGGCGGGCGAAAGATGCCTCGAATGGACTTCGGGCTGTTTCATTTGGTGTTTCCATTTAATTACAATTACACGCAGTGCGTTGAAATGAGGACCCCAGGTTGGGTCATCGTGTGGCTCTCCCCAAATTTGACCAGATCTCCCTGGTTTCAATTTGTGTCTCCAGGTTTCTCACCAGTGCGCGTCCGAACTCGCCCACCGAAGTTCAGCGCCCGAGGGATCCGAGAAGGAACGTCTTTGCGATGCTGGATGACTACAAGCAGAACTCATCGGCGCACTCTTTCAAGCCTCTCGGGCACAAACTGCTTCCCGGATTTGGCTCGTAGATTTGGCGATCAAAGAGAAAGCTCCTTCGGCCAAGTGAGGGTGTGAAACGGTTTTCCGGTGAAGAATTTCATGGAAAGGTCATATGCGGAATGAGTGAAACAGTTCCTGCGCAAAGAGGTCATGTCCATCTATGTTCATCTCTTGTGATGAAGGGCTACACCACTCAATTAAAAGGTTGAATTGAAATGCGCCTTGGTGGGTCTGATGTTTGCCACATGTTCAATCAGCAGAAGGCCCGCGATGTTCCAGTCACAAACGATGGACAGCTGTGGGCCTGATATGAATTGAAGTGCAGCCACCAACGGCTGGGTCCAGATCTGTGGCGGAAACACATTGTCTTCGTGGAATGGCAATGTATTTAAGATATACTGCAGGTCGACACTAGACTTGTGGGAGCGGTGGACGATTTGAGACCTGTCAGCCAACGTCATCACAGATTCTGACATACTGTCGGTGTTTTCAACAGGGGCTCTGAGCAGAACACAGACAAGGCTGCTGGACCATGGTACATAATACAGCTGACAAATCAATTCCTACGCGCTGGTGACGCCAGTTGGCAGTCTTCAGTCATTCAAACAATCTTGACCACCTTGAGGGAAAACCAAGGGATTGACTGCGACTCAAACTCTCAAGCTGGATTTAGATATGCCTGCTCAGTTGGTTTGTGACAGCGTGGATTGTGGTGGCCTTGGTGCGGTCGTTATGCACCAAACCACCCATCTATTTGGCTCGTCCTCTAAGTTCTAGAACTAAACACCGCTGCAAACCGACAAGGAGAAAGGAAGGCCCAGGTAAGCCTTTGGTCAGGGGCATGTTCTCGAGCACAGCTTGGTCGACCTGACCCCTCAACAAACCGACAATCACATACGCAATATGACATCTTTGAAAACAAGCCTCTGAATGTGACATAGAGCAAAGTCTGACTACACGGCAGCACCAAGGACGGAACACTACTGAAAGCCTGCGGAGAGACAAGCGTAAGACTGCGGGAAGACTGTTGGCCTGTGGGAAGACAAGGGGAATACTGCAGGGCAACTACATAGGAGTACTGCAGGAAGACGCTTGAAAGACTACGGGAAGGCCTCCGGATGCTGACAGGAAAAGCATACAACGGCTGAAAGCACTGAAGATCGATGAGGAAGCAATCAAAGCCAAGAGCGACCGCAGTGTTCAACGTGTCGCCACCGCTTGCTCGTTGTCCAAGTAGTATTTTTTGGCATGCAATACATGTTGAGATTAATAACAATTGTTTGCCAAATGTCACGTATGTGCACAACATTCCCTTCCCGCTTCGGGTGGTGTTTCCTTGGTGTGCTTGGTAGTGGCGTATGGCTAATGCCAGAAAATGGCTCTGTGTTATTCAAGAATTCAGCCTCCGTCCTATGGATTGCTCGCCTGCAAGCCAAGGATGGGCATCAGATATGGCACCTTGGATGCACGTTAGAAGAAAGTACTTTTGTCAAGGCAGGCTGCTCACACATGGCAGAATGCATGGAGATTCTACCATGTTCATTTCCTTGACAGGTGGCGCGGGCACTTTTTTTGTCGGATATGAACCATGCTCAACAAGTCAAATCAGACGGCCTTAGATGCTGAGTGCCTGTTTGGTCCTAAGAGCCTATGTGGGCATGTGCCAAGAATAGGGGCACCCCAAAATGGTGGCTGTCCTTTTGGTTTCCCTTTAAAACAAGCCAAAGAGGGTTCCCCCACAACACAACCATGAGGGTGATCGAGAAAGTGCTGTACAATCATGGTTTAGTGTGACATAGTTTTAAGTTTTTGTACAGGCCTTTTATTCTGCTGGCGGTTGTGGTTTGGAGCTTCAATTTAGATGCTGGCTTCAATCAAAGTGGAACATAGGTACTTCATCTACCTCTCGGCAAGCCTCTGCCGGTTTGAACGGCTCAGAAACCAGCCCTAAGGAGAATCTAGCGAAAATTGGCCGACCACTCATTGACGCACTGGGGTGTTGCCAAAACTTCTTCCAATGTTCCTGCGCAAATTGTGGCGTACATATTTATGTCAAGTACAAAGCACACAAAGCCCGCCCGCCCCACACACACACACACACAAACACACCATCCAGAGTGGGTGCCTCCCCGATTCCCCGATGCAAGTGAATGAACAGTTAATGCCTTTTCAGTTGCAAGCTACATTCACAGCTTTATTATGCTGTTCGTTATTTTCCTCCGTTTTGCTGATCTGTTTATGTCCCTTCAGACAACATGCAGCTTGAACACGGCAGGAACATCTTGACGCTTTGTCAGCAATTTGCTCTTGGCTGAAGGATGTGATCGTTAGGGGCCACACGGTGTGTTGAAATGTTTGCTACCCTCCTGTTTCGCTGCTGGTGAAATTAGGTCATTAGTGGGTAGATATGGACCATCCTGAGCCTGCCATTGAATGCCTTCCTGGCTCGAAATCTGCACATACGTCCAACTTCAGCGAGGTTCGTCGCATTGGAAAAGTAAACATATCTCTGCAAAAAGTGGATATGTGTCAGTCCCCTGCATGTTTCTTCAAACCACGTGCTCATCGCATCCTGGTTGCTTTGTTATTGTCGTTTTGTTACAACCAAGCCTGCATCTTGGCCAGATAACAACACATGACGTGGTACACGTTGCCCCACTAGACAGTGACAAAGGCATACTTTTGGGGGGTGAGCAGCGACGGATGATTTACGGGCATTATTCCCTGTGTGAAGCCCAAGTAGGGAGTTCTTCGGCGCAGCTATATATAAGTGTATGGAATTGAAATCCCATTCGGTTGTGTTATCAGTACACATTTGTTGGAATTTGCACATGGTTTGGTCCTTTTTGGAAGGATATTTTGGATCAGTTCGTGTTACACCATTTTTTTCAGCTACATGCAAATCATAGCTTACATGATTTGACTGGCAGCAGCGCCATAAATCGGAAGCTTTTCCGCGCCCGCGCCCGCGGGCCAGGCTGGAACGAGGTGGAGACCCCGAGCTTCGGGACGGGAACTCGGGTTTTCGGGTCGCTTGAAGCTGGGCGAGCCGTCATGGGGCTTCCATGGAGCGCAGTCCAATGGGGTGAAGAGGCAAAGAAAGTTGTGTTGCCCAGTGGGTTGCTTCCTGTTTTAAAATTTGCTTTGGGGTAAGGGTTCCCCTGGCCCTTGTTTATTTACTTTTCTTTGGGGTAAGGGTTCCCCGCTAAAGTCAAGCAACAAAGAAAGGGTGCCCTCTTTTTCCATCTGGGCATCTGAGAGTTGGAAACCCTTCTTTACAGCCAAGCTACACGTGTTTGTGACAGATGATATGTCTTGAATTCGGGCCCTTGCTCTTCAACCTGGGCAATGATCCAACCAGAGAAAAAAAGAAAAAAGAAAAAACTAGCCACAAGAACGGCTAAATAGATGCTGGAAAACGGCGGGCAAGCTTGACAGATAAGTTTAAGTTTCTGCATGGAATGGAACTGGTTGAGCTTGACATCTTTTCACCTAAGCTTCGCTGTGACCATTTACCATGCATCAAACCAGCTCAAGTGCCTGGCAAAGGCCGAAAATCAGCTGCGGGTTGTGGGTGGTGAGCAAAGGCAACAGTTTTCAGGGTTCGAAGGGTTTGGTCACAGGAAATTTTACTGGAAAACAGCTTATTTCATGTGTTTTGGGCCATTTCCTGTAGATTTTCCTGTAACCAAACCCTTCGCAGGGTAAGCTGGTGGTCACCGGTCAGGGAGAACCAGACACACCAAGCTTACAGGTGCACATTTGCGCCCCTGAACTACAACAGCTACCCGATTTCACCATAAAGCCTCCAAGTGCTCTACTAGGTCCCCCAGTGCCCTTTCTCACCCTTTTTTTGGGGGGGAAGGGTTCCCCTTCTAAAATAGACTACAGAAAAAATGGGCACCCTTATTCGAACCTCCCTGGTCTAGTGTTGAGGGCTGAGCCATAGCGAGGGCTTCGAGCCTAGCAGCCCTTCCGCAGGACCCTCTGGGTCGTGAAGAACCGCCTGCCTGATGACTTCCTGAATCAAACGGCCGGGCCTTGCACTCGCTTCGAGACGAAGAAAATCCACGAACATTTGCTGGGCCCGCTTATGTTGACATATGGGTATGGGTCAAAAACAAATCCACAGGGGACCGCAGGTTTTAGTCCTGCCAAGGTTCCATTTACCAAGGTTCCATTTTAGATACCTATTTTTGACCCACAGCCATATTTTTGTTGGTGTGGTCAAGCCTGCATGGGAATTGTGCGCCAAGCGAAAGTTTTCCAGTGGATATGTTTGGTGGTTTTTTGTCTTTTTGCAGGAGGACCTTCCAAGAGCATGTATGGGGGCCCCTTGGGGGGACCATACCATGGGGGGGTGGGTGGGAACACGGGACACGGTACCATATATAGGCATCAACACTGAATACCAACAGCAGGTTATCTAGCATAAACAAGCAGCTGACTGTTGATTGTTGAAGCAACAAATACAATACAGTTTGCAGTGGGACACATCATCCAAGGAACTTTAGAGGGAACTTCCATGGTACGGCAACTAGTCGCTCAAAGCGGGAAATCCCTGATTTGTCAAACAGGGCTAGTTGTTCAGGGCATCAGGTGTTTGCAGTATTTTACACCGGTCGTTCACGCGCATACAGCACATGTCTGTTGCACAGGTCCAGCCGCACTTGCGCGAGGAGGAGATCATGCAGCGGCCACAGCTTGTTGTTGCTCACGTCGCCACTTGCTACCCTGGTGAATTTGCATGTTGTTCACATTATGCTTTCATTTTTCAAATGGAGAACAAAACAGTTTTTTCACACACCGTCTCGTGCAACGGGGTGGGGGGGCGGGGCGGCGGGGGGGGTTGGGGCTGACAGCGGATTTGTTCGTGCTCATCGCCCCATGCCCGATTGCCTGGCTTGAAAAAGCGGTGGAGACAGCCGCGTCCCACAAACAGACGTTGCTTGAAAACACGCTCCACCAGAACACACGAAACACCGGCCCCCGCGAGCAACAACGAAACTGCCCTCAAAATGCAACGAAATGTTCTCTGCCCTCCAATGTTTTGGTGGAATCGCTCAGCAAAGGCTCCCCAAGTAGGATGTTTCATGCACACGCACAAAAGCCATACCCCGCAAAACCTGAAGAGCCACTTACACTCAATGCAAGTCTCTCTGCGCAAACAAATATCTGAGCAATTGGGTCCAAGGCCTCCACGCGGAAGCACCCTTTGCGATGTTTTTCAAATGTTTTGCCAGTTGCAAGTGTCGAACTCCTTACGCAGGCCATATGTGAGCGCATGCTTGTGGCAAAGGAGCAAACAGGCCCTTTCGCAATCGGCAAATTGAGCTAACTCGATTGCACGCATGTTTGGTTCGCGCACAGGCCACGCGAAATCCCAGTGCCTTTTGGTTTGCACGTCCATGAATACACACAAAAGCACGGAGTCACGCAAGGACCGTTTGGGCCGTAGAGCTTGAGATCACTCCCAAAATCGGTCCAAACGCCTTCAGATTGGTGGAGCGTGTTTGTGTTCTCACTGGCGTTGGCTGGTCAGAGCGAACTTTAGCCTTTAACGTCATTAAGGTCACTACCTGGTCATGACACCGAACAACTAAGCCATGGCCGTGTTTGTCAGAAGATCCATGAGTGACTTGGATCTCCTTACGTTCAGGCTTCCTGTTAATTCCTGAGCGCAAGCGCGATCGTTCGGCGCATGGATGCCCGATACCGATGCGTCCAAAGAGCATGAAGCAAGCACCAGCCTTTCGCCTCATGCTCATGTGACATGTTTACCAGCTTGTGCCGTTCGTGGAACACCTGATTGCCATAGGTGCCAGGATTCATGTCAAGGCAAGCCATGTCAACAACACAAGGAGTTTTGATCAAGGTACTTCACAACTACTGCAACTGGACCTTTGGCCCTTGTGGTATCCCTAGAATCACTCTGGGTTGCGTGCACTAAGGAGACACCTTGGCTCCGTACAGCTTGACAAAAGTGTCTCCTGTGAGGTGCATCAGCTGCTTTGTGGTTTGGAACAGGGCTCCTTAAAAGATCTCCATTTTGCAACCATTTGAAACATGTGGCTTTTTCTCCACCAAAATAAAGGAATGGAAACCACCATTTACAAGGCAAGCAATGTTCGATCGGTGTTTTTTATGCATCCGGATCCCTGTTGGAACAGGGGTGGCCTTTTGCGTCTCAACCGCACCGGGAATAACTCGCCCGAGGTATAACACGCCCAGCCCAAAGAGCTGGAACGGCTGTTCGGGCGACAGCAGTGCGTCAGAGGATAACGAGGTACTGGAGGAGACGCGGCATTGTCCTGGGTGGGAAAGTGGGGGAAACCTGCGGCTGCAATCGGTGATACTGTGGATGCTCGAAATGTTGCATCACTTTCAAACCGTGGTTGAAACCATTAGTTGCCGGATTTTTACGGGGGAATCGACTCATTCCAGGCCTTAGGTGGTGCGAAATGGATTTTGTCCATCCATATTGGATGATGTTGGAAAGCATAGGTCTCACTTCGTGAGTGCCTTGAGGGGACCAAATTTTAGTGGTAAATAAGAAGTTCTGGCTATCTCGGCCCATCCGCTCAGGAAGTGGGAGGTGTCTGCAAGATGAAACACTTTTCTCCCGGGCACGACGGAGTAGCCTAACATGCGACGTGCTGAACAGCGGATCAAAGGATGCGACAGCTGGATCCTGCGATTTGGCAACTCAGCAGCCTAACATTTGTCGAATGCTGAGTTGGGGCGTGGCTGGCTCAAGAAGTGTGCTTCAGACCTGGTTGATTGCGTGTTCTGTTGGTTTTCCACATCTCAGGTACACAACACAATCAGGGAAGTCATGGCTTCTCGTAAGAGATATACAGCAAGCGAACGCAACAATCCTTTTCTTACTGTATGCGCTTGAAGAAGTCACAACTTGATTCTTCTTTTCAATACAACCCTTTGCATCTAAAGTCCTGACGATCTGAGTATGTGTTTGGTAACAACGGACTGGATGGACTGCTGTATTGCAACTTAGACGTAGGGATTTGCAGCGCAGAACACGCAACCCTTTGAGAGATCGTGGAAGCTTCCAAAGCAAGCAACAATAGTTCAAATTTCATAGTTGTATCCGTTTTTATTTTATGTTATCTATTTCTTTGTTTAATTATTGTCTTATCTATTTGGTTTAGTTTTGCAAATTATTGTTTCACTTCTCATGAATCATAGTGTTACCGTTGTGTTTTTTGTGTGATTGTTGTTGTTTTTTAGGATTGACATCAGCACAGCTTCGGAATGCGCTATGGTGGATGTATAATAGCTGTCGGTTGGCGTCTTAACTGATACATGACTGAAGGGTCATCATTCAAAGCCTTGTTGCCGGGGTGGCTCATTTGGCCATGGGTCAAACGCCCGTACCCCCAGTGAACATCCCAATCCCCACTAAAATGGACTAACATTAGTTTTAACCCACAACCATTTGATTGCCGACTTTGATGAACTACTCATGCCTGTATTTCCCCCACAGAAAACTTGCTTTCTAGAGGAATTAATGCTGGCAGATGACCTCGGGCACGGGGTTACTGAGTCCGGTGGTCTTCCCCCCGTTCTGTGACGTATGATGACGTATGTCTGTTTGGGGTAGATGCAGAACAGCTTTTCCAGGGTCTGTGCGGTTTCCTCACAGTGACTTCGATTGGATTCGGTTCAATATAACTAATAACTAATAACTAGTATACAAACTCGTGGTGTTGATTCTTGACAAAGTGTCATTTGAGCGCAAGCAAAAGCAAGATGTATGGAATCAAACAATTTGATGAAGGGGCCACTTGTTTGTCCGTCCGTTTGTTTGTCTGTTTGTCTGTCTGTCTGTTTGTCTGTTTGCCTGTGTGTGCATCTGTTTGTTTGTCTGTCTGTCTGTCTGTCTGTCTGTCTGTCTGTCTGTTTGTCAGCGTTTGTTTGTGTTCATAAGTTGTGGTGTGTGCAATACTGGTATGAGAAGTATGCTCATGGCAAATAGATATATACATATATAATAATACATATATATATATAGTTGTGACCTGATATGGAGCGTTGACAACAGCGACCCACTTTGGCACTAGCAGCCCTCTGGCACAAGCTGGGCTGTTCCAGATCAATTCTTACTCCTGCCAGATAACTTGCTTGTACTGGTGTCCCACTTCTTTCAGGACTACCCACTCGAGCTCCTAGACTTTGGGACCTGGGTGACGCCCCAGGAGCTGCTGGACATGCAGACGGAGGATCTGGGCGGACTGGGCTGCTGCGACTGCTGCCACCGCTGGCGCGCGGTAACGACCGCGCGCTCGTTGCAGATGTGGGTGGGGCGTGTTGCTAGGGACACTGGTAGAAGCATGGTCGCAAGGGTCTCAGCTTGGGGACGGGATGATGTTGAGTGAATCACTGGGGGTTGATTGAAGAAGGAGAAGGGATATGCTGTTGGGCTACCAGCAGTTCGCAACATGGAGTTCCATTGGATGGTTTTTACACGGCAACTTTGATGCTTCAAATGGTGGCAAGTATTGCCCATCCTCCATGTAGAATCCAGAATACTTGGGGGTTTGTCAAGCTTTCGGTTTGTTGGAGACAGGGAAACACAAGGCCACTCCTGCGTGTATTCATGCATGCTTATGTATGATGTACATATATATATAATATTATGTAACTATGCATACATCATATGTAGTTGTACAGGTACGGTTGGCGCGAATTGGCAGTCCAGCATGGTCTTTAGCAGTGAATGCCACCACTTTAGCAGCAGTGCCAAACAAACCTTCCAAGAGGCTGTCCTGTCGCCCCTCTTTGGCATAAACATGAGGGCCGGAGTGTCAAATCCATCTTTGAGGTGGCTCATGATTTGTCGCTTTCTCCAAGTCGGCCTTGGGCTTTTCCACTTAGGCATCGGCCTTGATGTTAAGATACCGGAATCGGTTTTCACTGGAAGCCCAGCGGAACGGCCTTATTCTGTTCTTCCTGGATAGGTGTTTTTTTGAATAATCAGGCAGCGAAATTGGGAGTGCTTGCTTTTCCCCGACGGCTAAGGCAAGAGACCGGACATGTAGGGCAACCAGAGAACTCCAGGCCTATCAAAGTTGGCGTTGTGGGGCAACGTAAACACATGGCTTGTGACTCACTTTCGTCGCCATCAGTGGCGTTGCCTTCTTTAGGAAAGTAATAAAGCAACTGAAACACTGGCAAGGGCTGTAGCGATTCTAGTTTTGTGTGATTGACCAAACCACTTTACTGGCAGACATGGACATCTCCAAGCGGCCAGACTGCCCATGATTTGATGAAACTGGAGAGATGCATTTGTTGCAGCAACATCTCTGATGTTTGCACCAATCGCTGGCCGATGACATGGCACATTCCTGGATGTGGCATGTCATGTCCGACGAGTTTTGGCATGGAGCAGTCGAGCTCTCGACACAACCTGAAGTGAGTGGATCAGTCTAAACAAATTATAGAGGCACTTGCGAGTCGTGAACTTCCTCCTTTGTATCATCCTTGAACATCCATAGATCCCGTCGAACTAGACATCTCCCCATGCGTGCAAATTCGACCGGCCAGGGGCAACTGCGGGCGGAAGTTCCCACACCTCACCTTCACTGGTGGCTTGGCAGAGCTGGTGGACTGATCCGCGGACTGGTGGCTATGCCACTGTCAACAGTATCTTGCAAAATGGCTGGATAGAGAGACAGAAGCGCAAAGAAGCAGACATGACTGAGACACAAGCAGAAAGCAGGGACCGACGGCGACAAGCAGGCAGACACAGAGACAGACAGCCAGACAGCCAGACAGCCAGACAGCCAGACAGAGACAAAGACAGAGAAAAAACAGACAGAGACAAACAGACAGAGATAGAGACAGAGACAGAGACAGAGACAGAGACAGAGACAGAGACAGAGACAGAGACAGACAGACACACACAGACACACAGACACACAGAACAGACACACAGACACACAGAACAGACACACAGACACACAGACACACAGACATGCAGACACACAGACACACAGACACACAGACACACAGACACACAGACATGCAGACACACAGACATGCAGACACACAGACACACACAGACACACAGACACACAGACACACAGACACACAGACACACAGACACACAGACATGCAGACACACAGACACACAGACACACAGACACACAGACACACAGACACACAGACACACAGACACAGACACACAGACATACAGACATGCAGACACACAGACACACAGACACACAGACACAGAGACACACAGACACAGAGACACACAGACATACAGACACACAGACCCACAGACACACAGACACACAGACATGCAGACACACAGACACACAGACACACAGACATGCAGACACACAGACACACAGACACAGACACACAGACACAGACACACAGACACACAGACATACAGACATGCAGACACACAGACACACAGACACACAGACACAGAGACACACAGACATACAGACATGCAGACACACAGACACACAGACACAGACACACAGACACACAGACATACAGACATACAGACATGCAGACACACAGACACACAGACATACAGACACAGACACGCAGACACACAGACACACAGACACAGAGACACAGACATACAGACATGCAGACACACAGACACACAGACACACAGACACACAGACACACAGACACAGAGACACAGAGACATACAGACATGCAGACACACAGACACACAGACACACAGACACACAGACACACAGACACACAGACACAGAGACACACAGACATACAGACACACAGACATACAGACATGCAGACACACAGACACACAGACACACAGACACACAGACACACAGACATACAGACATACAGACATGCAGACACACAGACACAGAGACACAGACACACAGACATGCAGACACACAGACACACAGACACACAGACACACAGACACAGACACACAGACACACAGACACACAGACATGCAGACACACAGACACACAGACACACAGACATGCAGACATGCAGACACACAGACACACAGACACACAGACACACAGACACACAGACACACAGACACACAGACACAGACACACAGACATACAGACATGCAGACACACAGACACACAGACACACAGACACAGAGACACACAGACACAGAGACACACAGACATACAGACACACAGACCCACAGACACACAGACACACAGACACACAGACACAGACACACAGACACACAGACACACAGACACACAGACACACAGACACCCAGACAGAGAGACAGAGACGGAGACAAGACTAGAGAGACAGAGAGCGAGGAAGGGAAGAAGGAATGACGGAGGGAGAACATATGAGAGCGCCCCTGTGAGCATTAAAGGAAATGACCCATGAGTTGGACAAGACGTTGGCATCAGTTTCAGGTTGCGTTTAAGATGCTCAGTTACCCAGTTGGAGATTTGCAGATCAAGTAGAAGGCTTGGGATGTATTTGGTTCATCAGCCTGGCAGGAACCACAATCACTGTGTAGCTTGATTTTTGTTTATCTGAAGCTAGGTTAGTGTGTATCACAAGCGGATGGCAACAACCCCAGGCTAATGAAAGACAATGGTGGGGAAAACAGTGATTTTGAGTGTGCTACTTGATATCCACACGGTATGGATATCATGGTTGCCTTTAGGGTGCGTATGTCCATGCTGGTGAACTCCAGTTGGGATGCCTGGAATTGCGTTTGTTGTCCAAGTGCATGAACATACATGTACATATAGATGTATGATTCAAACTTTGTGCTTGAAGAGCTGAACCTTGGCAAGGGAAAAAGCCAGCAACAGTGAGATAATGCCTTGCTTGCCGGCCGGTAGCTGCTGAGGCATTGGGCGTCGCTTGCAGGGTTGTTTGTAATGTGTTGCAGGGATTGCCGCTTGCGTGTTTGCAAGCAACATTGGATGCCAGCGTACTGAAGCCCAATGACTTGAAACCCCCTGCAATGAGAGCGTCGCTTGGGTTTAACGAACATGGTTTCGCTGTTGCCTCGCGGATGGTAGCGCTTGCTTCGAGGGAAGGTCACATTGTTGGTACTTGTGTTGGTGGTATTTCACTTTCTCCACGGGAGTCACAATCAAAACCCGGGTAAGTGAGGGTTAGTAAGGGAAAGACCCAGCCAGAATTAGTTGCGGCCGGCTTTCTAGTTCTTTACATCAGGGCTCCTTAAACGATCTCCATTTTGCCACCATTTGAAACATGTTGCTTTTTCTCCAGCAACATCAAGTTGGAAACCACCATTTACAAGTTGCAAGCAATGTTCGATTGGTGTTTTTCATGTCAGGGTCCCTGTGGTTCCTGGGATTGCCCATTTTTACCGGGGGATCCCTGAGCGAGTGACTCACGCCGAGCGCCTTTCCTGAGGCTACATGTGGCTCACGCCTCAGCTGTGCAGCTCCCTGGCGCGCTTGGGCCACGCCCTGCCAGGGCCTCGGTGGCCTTGCGGATCCGATGGATCGGGTCGATAGGTCCGATGGAGCATGGGATCATTGGACACCCAAGAAAAGAGCCCAAATGGGGAACAGCCACTGAACAAGAAATGAATGAGACATATTTCAACCGCGAAATGGGAAAAACAGTGCGGGAAAAAAACACTAAATGGTTCAATGGTTCATTGGGTGACTGTTCAACTAACATGATATTTCAATTTCAAGGGTAACTTTGTCCTTGTCGTGGGTAACTCTTCCTACAAACTAACATTATGTCTCAACCAGGCGGGAAAAGTTACCCATTGTCATTTCGGGGCCAGGAATATTGATCAACCCCCAGATCCATGTACAACCCTGGTTGATTTTAGTTTGGGGCGTGTTCCACTAAAAGTGGCGGTTCACTTTTGGAGGGAACCAGAATTAAAAGGATGGGTTTCTTTTTCCGGGTTTTGCATTATGTGACACGTCCAAATTGGGGGGCTTCTTTTCAAGTGGGTTTTGACGAATTCAAAAAAATGCAGCCATGTGAAGGGTCTGCTAGAATTAGCTCAATATGTAGCAATCTTATGTGGACCAGGGGATCATGCAACAGCTACCAGTCTCTTCATAGTGTAGCCCTCAAACGCAGCATGCTACCGCAAGAAGGCAGCCTTTCGGGCATCACGGGCCGGTGCTGAAGGGAGTGTGGGCATGTGTGCTATTCTGTGGATTGTTTACACGACGATGCCGTGCTTGACAAAAGGCAAATCTGACGACAAGCTGCTGCCTTTTGATTTGGAGATTGCTAGTTCTGGTCCACCAAAGGGTCCCTAATCTAGATGTCATGGCTGTTTGGGATGAATATCTTTTTCGAGTCTCCGTGGCAGAGCCTCGAGTCCGCACTCACCAAAATCATGATCCCAAAAATTGGGTGTGTCTTTTAAGGCTGGAACCCCCAAACATCGCCTTGGTTTTGCTCTCGATTTCTCTTGAGAGCCACCGAACTTGAGGTCTCAAAGAAGACACCCGAAGGAACAAACGGGTTTTAGAGGTCCGTTTTGGGATCCAAGTCAGCACGAGGTCGCAGGAGACCGTTGCGCAGCTGAAACAGTCCCTGGGTCCGGGCCTGCGAAGCACCCCGTGAGCGAACGCGAGAGGCCGAAGTGATGCTCCTTCTCCGGCTGAAAGAGAGCCCCCAGAAACAGTGCAGAACAAAAAACATATGGCATCACTGACATTTCTGCGAGCAAGCCGAACATGTGCCGAACATGTGTGATGCATTTATAGAGGTAGATACAATGCCACCGATCTGCATACGTTGTTCAACAGACTTGACAGCCCACTGGTTGCGGCTCACACATTTGTCAGCTATTTGATCGGCACTCCTATGCCACCGGGAGCCTGCGAATTTGAATCCGCATGTTAAAGTTACCCTCGCTAGGCGCCGAGCAAGGCAGCCAGGTACATTATCAACGGCTCGACCGTTTCTTTGGCTGGGGCATAAAGAGCTGGTCCTGGCGGCTTGGCCTTGCGCTTGCAAGTGTCCTACCTCCAAGGATTGTAACAGGCCATATGGAACCCATGTCCCTCCGGGATGGTTGGCAACAAGTTAAAGGCCGCTTGTGTCGGTGCGGTGTTGCGATGTTTTACTTGATTGTTTTATTGTTTGATTGATTGGTTGCTTGTTTACTTGCTTGCTTGCTTGCTTGCTTGCTTGTTTGCTTGTGGCTTGCGTGTTTGTTTGGTTCTTCGATTGGTTTGTTTTGGTTTGGTTTGGTTGGTTTATGCGTGGATTGTTGTTTTCTTTTTTGGCTTGTGTGTTAGTTAGATCGTTATAGTTATAGTTAGTTAGTTAATTAGATAGCTAGCTAGCTAGCTAGCTAGCTAGCCTGCTAGCTTGCTTGCTTGCTTGCTTGGCTTGCTTGCTTGGCTTGGCTTGGCTTGGCTTGGCTTGGCTTGGCTTGCCTGCTTGCTTGCTTGCTTGCGTGCTTGCTTGCTTGCTTGCTTGCTTGCTTGTTTGTTTGTTTGTTTGTTTGTTTGTTTGATTGTTCGTTGTTTGCTTGCTTGCTTGCTTGTCTGTCTGTCTGTCTGTCTGTCTGTCTGTCTGTCTGTCTGTTTGTTTGTTTGTTTGTTTGTTTGCGTCGGTGATTGTGCATGCATGTGATGTGCGGCCTTTTGAGTGCGTTAGTTGTGTGTTGCCAGG